GTGTGTTTGTGTGTGTGCGTGCGTGTGTGTGTGTGTGTGTGTGTATGTATATATATATATATATACAGTAAAATGAACTACTATTTACTATTTGTACTACTATCCCTATTTCACAGTTTTCACTTATTGCGGGGCTTCAGGGTACAGATCCCCCGCCATTAACAAGGGACTACTGTATACTTTAGTGGTAGCTGAGAGCGAACCCCAATACATAGTACTGTCAAATCAAAATTTTAAAATGGCTGCAACGTAGCAGTCCCCATCAAAGTTTCTGCAGGAACTTTATTTAGAACTTAATATTTGAAGATTAGAGTCAGAGTCAGAGAGTAAACATTCACTGTATCAGCTGAAAACAGACACTTTTATCCTCTCAGATCAACCCAGTAAGTTGAATGCAAACATTTGTGCATAAGTAAAAAGTCTTAACTATTGCCAAGTAGATTATTCTATTTCAATAATTCATGAGACATCGACTTTTCGAAGCTGCAGAAGGAAATGTTTTGTTTATTACATGCAAAGCACAGTGTATAAAGAAGAATATGGACACTGCAGCCAAATCATAAAAACAATGAGAAAACCTCCAGTTAATTTTATTAAAATAATCAAAACAATTTTGCGACTGTCATACAATTCATATTTTTATGGTGAAATGTCTAACCTGTCTGGAAATATTACTGCTTTAGTCCTTTAAAGTTGAACATGATGACTCAAAGCTCTCACTCTGTCATTAAAAATAAGCACTTTGTAAAACCTGCTTTGTTTTAAACTGGTTATGTTTTCCCAAATTCTTTTTTTTTTTAATTCTGTTTAATGGTATAACATTAATTCACTTAAAATAGTGTTATATTATTTTATGCATTGTTAATTGTTCAACAACTCAATAAAAGTCATTTAAAAAAAGGCATACACTTTAATAAAACATGACAAAAAAATGTTTTGTTGAACAAAACTTTTAAAGCTTTAGTAAAACTTTTGGCCTGTAAATCATATTTTAAACACCCCCCCCCCCCCCCCATACATACACACACACAGCTTTTTTATATATAAATAGCTTTTGTGTTTGAAAGTTAAAAATAAGAACTTTACCTTTGTAAAAGGTACATGTTTATAGTATATACATAAAATATAGTATACATACATTGGCCCCCAGGAAGTCTCTACTACGGTAGAAACTAATTGGGATCTTTAAATAAACAAATACACACAGTATAAACTGTACATACACATAGTTTATACATAAAATACGGTTTTAAAATGTTGTATTTTACTATTAATATGTAATTTTTGAGTGACTTACAAACGTTGTCACTTGTGACCAACGTAAAAATGGAGGCAGAGTCTGTCGACCCCATCTACTGATGATCACAAATAGAAATATTCTTTAAATTATATGAAATGTCCTTAGTACATTACATCACTTGGGCATAAATAAATTGATACTACAAACAGCATCAACAAGTGCTCTAATACTCTTCATGTATTTATGGAAGAGGATGCTCCTGTCTCCTTTATCTCTTGTTTTGTGGACAACTCATCACTTGAAGTTTAACCGCCTTCAGGAACTCTGGTCCCCTTTCAGCTTCAGTGTTCAAGTTTTTGTTCTGTGTCCAACATTACGTCTGCATGCACCACTGCAGGACAACCCTGAAGGCTGTGTCATGCTTCTTCTGGAGCTGAACATTCAGCTCGTGGTCACATGGTTGCGAGACATTCAGTTTTGCACACTGAGCTCCTGGGAAACCCCTCCAGCTGCAGTATATGTCACAGCAAGGGTTTCTTCCTGCCAGGGTCTCCACTCCATCCCTGAATCTGCCATTTGGCCACAAATCTGTCACAAAGAGTGCCACACTTTTCAGCAGACTGACTCCTCTGTGCACAGTGTCTGTCCATTCTCCATCCAGGATTTATTTTATTTGACTATCTTTATGAATGTCTTTTCTCACTGCCTCGGCCAAGTGCTCCTCGGTGCTGTGCTTGTTGTTTGCACGCACAACTGCCGGCTTCTGGAAGCAGAGTAGTTGAAGTAAAATGACAACATTGCTGTCTGAGTGCTTTTCTGCATTAACAAACATGCCCACAAACTTCTGACCAGTCACACAATACTTTGTGCACTCCTGTGAGTAAAAGTTGAACCCAGGCCTTGTATCAAGAAGAGGCAGTCATAGCAACAAAGAAACAAAATGGTAGTAATCAAAACAAAATGACACAATTTTCATCACACATCTACATCAACGAGAGCTGATTTCTCAGCTTTGGATGGTACATGGAACAACTTTTAGGGCAGGGCTATCGACTGGCAGCCTGCAGGCCGGGTGACTTCAGTCTGGCCCACCACTGAGTTCATAAAAAAAAAAAAAAAAGGTGGGGTTTTTTTTTGGGGGGGGTGGGGGGGGGGGTTGGTTTATTTCAGTGGTGTAGTCTGCATTTTTGTAGTGGGCATACTGTGCTTAGAAACCAAAGTACACCGGTTTGTGCAAAGTAATCGTTAATGTATTTTGATTTTTAAGCATATTGAACATTTCCAAATTTCTCTGATGTTAATATTTGAATAAATGAGCAACAAACTTTGTACAACAGTTGGCTTTGTATTAAAATCATATATAATTTATAAAACAGTATCAAAGCAAAGCGCTGCATTCCGACAGATTGTTATGGAAGTGTTTAACATTTAACGTATCAATGACGTGCCTAATGATATGTCATGTGTCATTGGGCACTTTACGAGGGTATACTGAATTTCTTAAGCTTTTCTAGTGGGTATACACCGTACACCCAAGTATCATGTAGACTACACCACTGGTTTATTTATATAATCTTCCATTTATCTTCCAGTTATATAACTGTTAACAACTGTGTAGTACCACAAGGTTCAGTCCTAAGACCCACCCTCCTCACAATCTACATAAGTGATGTAGGTCGGATCATTCCTGATACATCCTTACATTTCTATGCAGATGACACAGTTGTTTTTTGTTGAGCTAAAACAGTTGCTAAGGTTTAACAGCTTTTGCAATCTGCTTTTGACATCATCAAGTCAGTTTTATTTCATCTCAGGCTTGTTCTAAACGCCGACAAAAACAAAAGGATGTTGTTTTCAAACAAGAAGTCGGTCCCAGCAGTTTTTCCCACTATTTTATCTTTGAATGGTGTTCCTATTGAGTTTGTTGTTTCTTACAAATCCTTGGGTGTCTTGGTCGATTCGTGTCTCACTTTTAAGTCTCGTGTTGAAAACTTGGTAAAGAAATTGAAAGTAAAACTGGGTTTCTTTTTTCAAAAATAGATCCTGTCTAACTTTGAACGCTATACCCTGTAACGGCTACTTTCCTCCCATCCACTGACTATGGTGACATTATTTACATGAACGCTCCTACAAGAACCCTGCAGATGTTGGATGCTGTCTATCACGGTGCGCTAAGATTCATAAGTGGCTGTAACTACTGTACCCACCACTGCACCCTGTATTCACTGGTTAACTGGACATCATTAACTTCACACAGACTCTCTCATTGCTACATTTTCATCTTTAACTCACTCCTTGGTCTGTTGCCTTCATACATTTTTCATTCATCCAACCTTTATTTATACAGGCTAGTCTCATTGAGCCACAATGACTCATTTACAAGAGAGACCTCGCAGGATTCTTTCCAACAGCCATCACATCATTCAAAGCTCTCAGACTTGGAGACTCTAAACTCCACCATGATGCTGTTCCTCTCTCTGTTCTGGCTCTGGCTCTGGCTGCTGTCTCCTTCAGATGGATAGATGAATCTTCAACGTGGCAACTGTCCTGAGTCCTGGTTCAGCTGCAGTGGTCGCTGCGTCAAGTATTTGTCTTCATACATGACCTGGGTGATGCAGAGCTGCACTGTGTGTCACAGAAGGCCAATCTTGCGTCCATCCACAGTCTGGATGAACGCACTTTTGTCAATCCTCTGATCAAGAACTTTGATCCTGCTCGGAGACAAACCTGGATGGGACTCTCTGATCGCCACAAGGAAAGAAGATGGATGTGGTCTGATGACTATGAAATAAATATTGTATTTTGGACTGCAGGAGAACCAAACAACCTTCAGCATTCTGAGCACTGTGTGCACACCAGCATTAAGAACGAGAAGAAATAGAGTGATTGTCCACGTTCTGTGCGTTGTCCATTTGTTTGTGCCTCCCACGGTAAATTTTCTATGGCAACTAGAATGCATGTTTGCTGAAACCATATAGCTGTAAAGATTCAAATATCCTCTTTTTTTAATGCACATTTACAGTCAGTTCACCAAACTAAATAAATGGGACTTTGGTGTTGCTTTGCAGAATAATAATTTTATAACTAGGACAAAAAAATGTATCTTTAAATGCAAACATGAAATTTCACTTCTGTTAAACCATGATCAGAGTCTGTGATGCTGGTAAGCTGCCTGTTATCACAGCTGAGCAAAATCCAATCATTCCACATCTTTCCTTGGATATTCCTCCATTGTATTATCACCATTTACCTGGGAAAAAAACTGGTATACAAGTCGTTTCGGTGTATAAGTCGCAGGACTGGCAAATCTGTGCACAAAAAAAACAAAAAAACGGTGACTTGTATGCTGGAAAATATGGTAATTGTTGTAAAAAACAAGAATCAGGTAACTACAACCTCTATGTTGTGAAGCACACAGGTCTCAAAAGCTCCTGCAGTCTCCTGGCTGAAAGATGACTGCAGTCATATGTTTTTGCTACATCTGAGCTCCACAGTGTGTCAGAAAGAGTCAGCCTGGTGTTCAGTCTTTTATAAACACGCATGAAGCTGCACGTAAGATTTTTGACATGTGTGTTCTACTTCCTGGTTTACCTGCATTTTTATGTGCTTTTATGTGTTTATAATTATTTTGGGGAATATATATATGATTGTTCTTGCTTTTATTGTGAGCACTTTGTAAAATTATATCCGTAGCCTATTCTGTGAATCTTACTTACATCCACAGTGAGAAAGAACATAAATCTGTTGAAATTCTGATCGAGAACTTTAATCCCACTCAGGGATGAACCCGGATTGGACTCACTGACGTTCACGAGGAATGTGGTCTGATGGGTGTAGTATCTTCACATGGATGGATGGATGGATGACGATAGACAAGAAATTGGACACTGTGGAAAAACAATAAAATAAGCAAATACACAGAAATTGTGTTTAGTCAAGGGAAATATATTTTGAATAATTTCTGGTGTCATTTTTTTCCACCTCACATGCACCAAAGAAAACCACACATTTTGGTATTTTAAACCACTTATCAAAAGCTTATTAAAAAAATTGAAATTAAAACTGTTTCTTTTTCAGAAATAGATCTTGATTAACTCTGAATGCCATAAAACACTTTGTAACCTCTACCTTCCTACTGGCCATTGACTATGGTGACATTATTTACATGAATGCTCCTGCCAGCTGCATGCAGATGTTGGATGCTGTCTACCATGGGGCACTAAGGTTCATAACTGGTTGTAACTACCCATCACTGCACTCTGTACTCCTTGGTCAGTTGGTCATCATTATCTACATGTAGGCTCTCACACTGCTTCATATTCATCTATAAATCTCTCCTTGGTCTGCTGCCTTCTTATAACTCCTCCCACATGTCACACCATCAGTGCAGTTACAACGTGCACTGTCAGACCATCATTACCTGCAGCGTTCCTTCAGTGTGGACTGAACTTGGAAAAAAGGCCTTTTCTTACTCAGCTCATGCAACCTGGAACACCTTGCAACAGGAACTGAAGCTGTCCACCTTAATTTCTTTAATTGGTTTCAAACATTTGATAATGTCAATTAAACAATCAAATCTTATATATATATATATATATAAATGTTCTTGTTTTTAGTATTTCCGCCTGTTTTATGGCACCCTGACTTATTGTTTTATACACTACTTTTACTGAACTGCATTTTCACTGTAGTTTATTGTTGTCTCTACTTTACATGTTCTTTCGGGAACAGGTCTATCTTGTAAACGAGTCCTCATGGCTCAATGAGACTAACCTGTATAAAAAAAGGTTGAATGAATGAAAATTGTTCCAGACAGAACATATTACATTTAACAAATCTCCTCCTACATGTCTCTGTGTGAGTGCAGCTACAGCGTGTGCTCTCAGGACATTATTACCTGCAGTGTTCCCTCAGTGAGGACTGAACTAGGCAAAAGGGCCTTCTCCTACTCCGCTCCTGTTTCCTGGAATATCTTACAAAAAGACCTGAAGCTCTTGACCTCTCTAAGTGGCAGCGCAGACATGTTTTAGGTTTTTTTACATTGCTTTATAATGTAGCTGTTTTTGTCTAATTTTTACACAATTTTCTTCCATTTATAATTTATATGCTTTATTTATGATTGTCCACTGTTGTCATCATTCTTTGTTAAAACAAAAATCTATTGTAAATGAGTCCTCGAGGCTCAATGAGACAAATCTGTATAAATAAAGGTTGACTAAATGAATAATGGCTTTAACTGCTGGATATCCGGCCCCTGAGCTGCTGGCTTTCAGAAACCGTGGCCCCCTGAGCAGGTTTGTTGAATAACCCTGCTTTAGAGAAAGAGTTCAAGCACAGCAGAGAGGGAGGGGAAGCACAGGTGAACTCTGCTTAATTGTTCAACTTAATTCTCCATCCTGCTCAAGATTACAATGTTCTGCTTCAAAAACAAGAGACTGATTTCTGGTACAACACACTAATTAGCAAGAATATTAACAGTTTTGATTTATTATTTTTTGACTTATTCTGTCAATAATTGGCATAGAGGATAAACTTGGAGTAAACAAAGGTAGAAGTATTTCAGACACATCTGGATGAGGCATAAAATGCCAATAATTGTTTTCTGTTCTGAACAATGTCCTTGTAGGATATGGTATTATGTCATCATGTGTTACTGCCATATTTTGACGTTATTTAAATAAAATACTTTTACTACAAACGAAACCCCACAATAACCCTGGCAGATAACACAGGTTGCAAACAACATAATATTTTAGAAAAGTGATCCAGGGTCACACTCGGTGTTTTCACTACCGTATGGTACAGTACAATTATCTGTGTTTTTGTAGCGTCTTCCTCGGCTGTTCATGCTGCTCATCTGTGGGTGAAGCTATTGAGAGTGTAGCCCGAGGCCTGGCCAGTAGAATGAAAAAGGAGAAAAGCCACTGGGCAGCTGGCAGAGTGGGCGACATAGACTTCATTGGATCAACTAAGACAAGAGGAAAGGTGAGCGTAAACACTAGAAATGTGAATAAATTAAATAATATTAAAGAGAAGAAAATATATAGTGAGATTAATTTTGAAAACTGGACGCAGACGTAACCTTTCTCCTCCATCCGTTCAGTTTATGAGAGTGTGCAGCAACACAGATCCAGTTCTGATTTACAAGATGCTGACGGAGGAGTGGGGCCTGGCTTCTCCACATTTGGTCGTGGCGTTGGTGGGAGGAGATGAGCTGGCTCAGATGAAACCCTGGCTCAGGGACACTCTGAGAAAAGGACTGGTGAAAGCAGCCCAGAGCACAGGTTGTGATCAGAGCAAGAAAACTGCCCTTGACTTTTGACAAAGAGCTTTTTTTGTTGTTGTTACATTTTATTGACTCATAGCAGAATCACTAACACCAGCTGTGTACAGTATTATTCTTTGATAGAAAAACTTACAGCCTTAAATCCACTTTATTTTTTGTGTTTATATATGTTTTGTGCACCTAGTTAAATAAAAAAAAAAATCCTCCTTTCTTTAAAAAAAAATCAGAACAGCAGCATGTATGACACAACAATCTAATTTATATTGACTGTACCGCTCTTGTGTAATCATAGACACAACCTTCTGGTCTAATACGCTCTTTCAAATTCACTTATAGCTACGCTGTTTCTGTGGAACTTAACATAAAATGTCCAGTACCTCATGCACACACACACATCCAGATATATGACTGCTTGTCTGCTCTCCAGGGGCATGGATTTTGACTAATGGCCTTCGCTTTGGCATCACCAAGCACTTGGGCAAGGCAGTGAGAGATCACTCCCTGGCCAGCACCTCCTCTAAAGTTCGAGTAGTGGCCATTGGCATCGCACCCTGGAACATGATTCACAACCGAGAGGCTCTGCTCAAGGCCAAGGTTTCTATTCACACAAACAATGGACGGCCACTAAATGCAGCTGCATCACCTCTGAGCAGCATTAATGTCCTCTGCCCTTCATGGCTGTGTTCGTTTGCATAAGGTGGATGAGCCTGCAGCCTACAAACCACAGGACCTGCCCCACGGTTCAGTGTATTCCCTGGACAGCCACCACTCTCACTTTGTGCTGGTGGAGGAGGATCCCAACCGACCAGGAGCGACCAGTGAAATGAGGGTGAAACTACTCAAACACATTTCCCTTCAGCGCACAGGTTACGGAGGTAAAATCACCCAGGACACTGCGGGGAACATGTGACACAATGGCAGTCTTTTATCTAGGCGATAATAACGCCACATTTTAATTTGTGCTGGATTAAAAAGTTAAAATTCAACATAAAATTTTACTCATGTGAAGTGGTCAGTTTCACAGTCAAATATAAAAAGTCGAGAACGTTCAGTCTGAAAAGGGTCGCTTTTATGGTGGTAAATTATAAATACAATAAAGATTTTATTGTGATGGGGCATAATAGATGTGACAGCTTCAAATATGGATATCTTAGAAGTTACTCCGCTTCATATTTTATGAACGGTTGGGACGACTTTCTATAGAGTCAAAAGCTTCAACTTTGTAAAAAGACAAAATAAAGTGTGCCACTCAAGCTAACTTTTCTTTTTAAGCCATTTAACCCCAATTTTATTTTCCCTGCCTTTCAAGACTGCCTCTGAGCAATGTTGTAAATACAAATAATGGCAAACAAAAGCAGGAGTAAGAACATAAATGGTGCCGAGCTGTATTTACCACTGACTTTTGTTTTAGTGCATACAGAACACATGACAGAACAGCTGCAGCAAAATGAACTAGAGAAATTACATTTCCTGAGAAAATGCAGTGCTTGGTGCAGAAAAACAGCTGAAATGAGCTAAAATTCAATTCAATTCGATCTTTATTTAGACAAATAAGTCACACTGAGCCTCAAAGACTCATTTACAAGTGAGACCTGTTTAGACAGACCAAAAAGTAATGAAAGTGGACACATGTAGGAATTGGAGGCAAAACAACTCCTATCAAACTCTTTCTTCTTGGCAGAGAAGGAAGACTCTAATATTGAAAAAAATACCTCGCACATAATATGCTGAAAAGTAGCTGAAGTGAAAGAACAATACTAAGTTAGCAGAAAAAGCAGAAAAAACATATATTTGCTGAATTAGGTTTAAATAAGGAGAAATGAGCTCAAAAAGTAGGACAATTTGCTGAAAAAGCTAAAAATAGCTGAAAGAAGCTGAAAAGGCAGAAAGGAGCTTAAACTACAAGAAGGAAGTGGAAAGAATTGAAATGAGCTAACAAAAAAGTGGAATTAGCTAAAAAGGCTCAAAATTGCATTAAAACAGCTAAATAGCTGAAATAACAGAAAAAGATGAAAGTAGATGAAAAAAGCTGAAAGGAGCATAAAGATGTTAATTAGATTGAAAGTAGCAAACATTTGCAAGAAAAACTTGACTTTAAATGAAATCAGCTGAAATTAGTCAAACAATATGCTAAAAAGGTTGCTGAAAAAGGTAGAACAAGCTTAAATTAGCAGAAAAAAATTAGCAAAAAAAACTGTTTGCCCATTTAGGCTGAAAGAAGCAGAAATTAGCACAAAAAAGTAGAAATTAGATGAAAAAGCTGCAATTAGCAAAATACTGCGTAAAAGTAGCTAAAAAGCAGAAATAAGCTTAAATTACCAGAAGGAAGTGGAGAGTTCACGTTTGCTGAATTAGGCTGAAAAAAGTTTCAATGAGTGCAAAAAATGCAGAATTAGCTGAAAAGCTAAAATTAGCATAAAACAGCTATATAGTAGCTGAAATAGCAGAAAAGGCTGAAACTTGCAGAAACAAGCTTAAAGGAGCATAACAAGCTGAAATTAGCAGAAATAAGTTAGAAGAAGCATACAAATGTTGTAGTTAGCAGAAATAATCTGAAAGGAGCATAAAATAGCTGAAAAAACAGCTGAAAGTAGCTGAAAAATGTATAAATTTGCACAAGGAAGCTGAAAGAAGCTGAACCAGAACAAAATGTGAAAGGAGCAGCAAAAGCTTGTAAACAGATATAACATTTGAGCACAATTCATTTTCTATGAGGAAACAATGTCAGAAAAGACTAAATATTTCAAAAAGCTAAAGTTGCACCAAAACCAAAAGTCATAGCAGGATTGTCCTGAAACAGCTGAATGTTTTGATTTATGATTTTTGAAATAGCACAAAAATTGTGGAACAAGAAAGATGCAGAAAAACATAAAGAAGAAAAGTGGATCACAACAGAGTGAATGCTTCATATACATTCTGAGTATATTTTAGAGTTAAAAAGAAATGGAATGGAACACTATGAAACTTCTGTAAAACAATTTCTGCACCATTGCATATATTTTAATAGTTTTAGCTATATTACTAAGACAGCCTGGTCTGTTGACAGCTGTAAGACTATTCCATTTTTTCCTATCGTATCTAGAAATGCTAACCTTGTAACTTAAAGGTTAACAAATAACAGATTAACATAAAGTACATTTTGGTTTACTTTAAGTTAATCTGTGGTTTAGGTTAAGGTCGAGGTTAGAGTTTGGGCAGAAGAACACACACAGTGCTTTAATAGTTCTTGAATATTTAAGTACAGTAAATGCTTGCAGTGTTTTCTCTGTCTCATACATCCAACCTGAGCATGTGTAGAATGAGTATTTAGAGCCAGCTGCATGTCTGACTGGTTGCAACCTTCCCATTTTGTGCACCAATAAATATATTGAACCATAACCAGGAAGCCTGGACTCATAAAGTTGGCACAAAATCAATATGAAAACCTGTGGGATCATTAGCAGGGAACCGTGATGCTGCTCTTCTTTTCTAAATATTGAATACTTCATGATAGGAAGATGATGTTTGGAAGTATTTGATGCCTTCAGTAGAAATAAAAAATAATAAAAAAACATCACACTTTGGGTTCAGCAAACACAGCTCAGTGCAGCCTAAGCACCATTTATAAACTAAAGTGACATCAGAGCCATAAAAATCGGAGATGTGGATCTTAATGTTTGCAGGAACAGGAAGTTTTGAGATCCCTGTTCTCTGTCTCCTGGTCCACGGGGAGCCCAGAATCCTAAAGGTAACTTCACTCTTTGATATTAAGAATCTTTAAAAACCTATATTTCTTAAAATAAGACACGTTGCTTACCATATTTCAGGTCAAAGTTTTAGACAAATATAATACGTTGAGCATTGGAAAAAAATCTATTTGAGCTTTGATCGTTTTTTGATTAAATCGTAAAAATAAGATTAAACATGATCTTGTTATAATGTAAGATGTCATGCTCAAAGTATTGCATGTGTTGTGAAGGACTGTCAGCTACTACCACACCACATTCAGCACTATGTCTGTAAGATCTAAAAATATTTGTTGAGAATCATTTTTAGCAATAGCCATAAAACTTTTCCCACAATATTTTTAAAACTGACAGAGCTGTAGCAGAATTTTCAGTTTTTTAGGTCAATTGGCTGTAGCAGCCATCTTAAATTAAGGTAAGTATTTTCTGGTGTATAAGTCGCTCCGGAGTAAAAGTCGCATCAGTCGCATCAGTCACAAAAAGCATCATGAAGTGGAAAAAAGCATATAAAAGTCGCATAATTTATTGTGTCACCGCTGACCCGTTGCGTTTATTTAATGGTCAAAACAGCTTCATTTCACCTGGTGCGTGGCACTATCCATCCATCCATACATCCATCCATACATCCATACATCCATCCATCCATACATACATACATACATCCATACATACATCCATACATACATCCATACCATCCATACATCCATACATCCATACATACATACATACATACATCCATACATACATCCATACATACATACATCCATACATCCATACATCCAT